AAGAAGCATAATGTGATAGAGCCATCTGGTATGCCATTATAGGGAGGACAATCTTGATGGATTACTCTTTAAACCCTCCTAGCTCTCAGATCTAAGAATGTCAGTGGTCTTCCAGATTCTGACTAAGATGAAGGTTGTGCTGAGATTTGGAAGAAGCAGGACCATTGGAAAGTATAATTATATGATTATCACTAGTGATAGGTCTTTTTAAAAAAATCTTGAGAACTTTATCTCATAGCTGCACTAACATTTCTCGGGTATTTTGTGCAGTTATCACCATGATTATTTTTTCCCATAACAAAATGCCTAAAACACCCAAGTCTAAAATAGTATTTTGAGTAGAAAATATGAACATCTGTGTTATTTTCAGAGAACTGAACAAGCTGTTCATCAGTGCAGTACAAATAGCTTACCTTTTTATTATATTGTTTTTCATATTTTGATGTTTTTATTCATATATTTATTTACTTATTCTGCAAACATTGACTCAATAGCTATTTGTGCTATTGATATGCAAAGTTCTAAGCTTACAGTCTTAAATGAAGCAGAAAGCTCATGCAAATAAACATGGATCCTTTACAGAAGTCATGCTTTATTTGGGAGTGCAGGGACAGAGAACACACCAGGTAATTCTCAGGGTTTACACATGGCTCTGTGCTCAGGAGTCATTCCTAGAGGAGCTCAGGTGACCGTATGGGGTAGTGGGAATAGAACCCGAGTAGGCTGCATGGAAGGCAAGGCAAGCACCTGACCAGCTATACTATCTTTTCAGCCACTGGAAATTGGGTTCTTAAGACCTGAATAATCTCTTCTATAATTTCTATGCTTTACAGATTACTCTTTGTTCAATGAATTTAAAAGCATTTGTAAATACTGTTAAAAATTTAGTCCTTAAATAATTAGTGGTTTGATTGACTTTTTCATCTGAAGTATGTGGGAGCTGTAGCACTGTAGCACTGTCCTCCCATTGTTCAGCGATTTGCCCCAACAGACGCCAGTAACATCTCCATTGTGAGATTTATTGTTACTTTTTTTGGCATATCAAATACCCCTTGGGGATTTTGCCAGGCACTGCTGTGTAGGCGGGTACTCTCAGTAGCTTGCCAGGCTCTCCGAGAGGGATGGAATAATTGAACCACAGGTCTGCCATGTGCAAGGCAAATGCTCTCCCATTGTGCTATCGCTCCAGCCCACCTGGAAGCTAGACTTTTATTTTGTTTTGTTTTTTGTTTGGGGGCCAAAATTTTTGTGCTTAAAGATTCTGTATAAGGCCCTAACTATCCTTAGGGACCACTCCTGGATCAAACCAAAGTCAGTGGCATGTATAGTTTGTGTCCTATTTCGTGTACTGTTTCTCCAGCCCCCAAATGGAGAAACAGTTTAAAACTTTAATCTTACTGACACTCCCACCAAAAAAATGTACAGAATTAAAAGCATTTAAAATTTATCAAAATAAATTTTTCTTAGTAAAGTGTGGTGCTGAGACTTCATTGAGGTTAGTGAAATAGTAATGCATATAGTAAAATTATACAAAAATACTATACTGGTCCTCAAAAAAAGTAGGTGTAATAATTCCAGTTTCACCAGGCAAGCAAACCTAAACTATGGTGTAGGATAATTATTTTATTTCTATAATTAATAATCAAGGAAGCTTCATGTAGGTCAAATTATGTTAGTACTGCATGATAAAAATGTGCAAATAATTTTTCATTGACTCATCCAATGGATACAGGCAATATTCTCTAGGTTCTCTCTGTATTTTATTTTTTTTCTTATCTGAATCCACAATTTAGCACTAGACTCTTTTCTCTTCTTTGTTTTCTTATACTCAGTGCTGTGCTTAGAGCTCCAAGATCTACTCTGTATCTTTCTGAGCTGTTTTCCATTCTCGTGTCTTCTTCAGGTACCATCATTCACCGTATCATTGTTAAAAACATTGTTAATAATCTCCTAAACTTCATTCATGTTCTCATAACATGACCAACACTATAAGTATCTGTTTATTGTTAGGAGCCAGCAATCTTCATAGATCTTCCTACCATTTTAATTTTATAGATAATCCATGACAAAAACAAAATGCTTAGAAAAGATGAATTTATTTGTGATTATAAATTTCCTCATTAAATTTAATTAGAACAAATTTATGGAAGTAATTTCCTGAAAGAACTTTAGGTAAAATAACTCTCACCACATTAGTACCAGGAATTTTTCTCCATGGCTTGGAGGCCAGCCATACATGCTAGGGGAAAAGGTAGCTCAGATAGAGAAGGGAGCATCCAAATAAAGGGTGTTGGGAGGATCCTCCCAGGATGGGAGAAGCATGCTGAAAGTAGACTATAGACCAAACATTATTGCCACTCATTACCTCTTTTGCAAACTACAACACCCAAAAGGAGAGAGAGAACAGAGGGGAATGCCCTGCCACAGAGGCATGGTGGAATGGGGGGAATGGGGGGTGGGAGGGATACTGGGATTCGTGGTGGTGGGAAATGGGCACTGGTGGAGGGATGGGTATTTGATCATTGTATAATTGAAACCCAAGCACAAAATTTGTAAGTCTACAACTGTACCTCATGGTGTCTCACTAATAAAAAAATTATTCAAAGTAGCATTACTTAATAACAATAAAGGCTTTAATGCATTAATCTGGTTCTTTAATTACAAGTTGTTTGCATTGTGGGTTGTGTATTGATGTATTTTCGCTTGGGTGTATACAAGTTAATTCTGGATATTTGCAAATAAATTTGTGAATAAGAATAATAAAAAAATTACTCTCACCTATTGTGTGTCTACCATGCATAAGAAAAAATACTTTAACATTCTTATATATTGTCTGATTTTTTGGTTTGAGGTCACCAGCTGTGAACAATGGCAGTGCTTAGGTGCTACTCCTGCCTCTGTGTCAGGGATCACTCTCAGTGGTGATTGGGGAATGGGGAATGAAACAGTGCTAGGGATAGTATCTGAACCTCCTGCATGTGGAAAGTATGTACTTATCTCTCTGCCCTGTTAAGTGTATTCTTATTTAATTCTCATACCATCCCAATGAGATAGGCCTATTATCTTAGTTAATAGATGAAAAAGGCATAATCTAAGTAACAAAAGTTAGTAGATCCCTTCAAAAGTTTAGTTCTTCCTAAAACATATATTATTTCCTATTTTAAATTATAGAATATGTGGTTATATAACTACATAAATGTTAAGAAGCTCTTGACTTTGAGCTAATACCAAACCACAGAGCCATGCTTAATCTCATACTTAAGCATGAGATTCAAATTACAATAATCAGTCTTAAAAATTGTTAATGGAGCAAAGTTGGTGGTGAAATTGGTGTTGGAACATTGTATGCTGAAAAATATGGTATGGACATAATTGTAAATCATGTCAATCATATAAATCATAATTGTAAATCATTTAAATTTGAAATTTTTTTGAAAAAAATGTTCTTTTGTACAAAAATGAACACTTTGTACATAAGAGTTTTGGTTGGGAATATGAAGAAGATGACTGAAACACTTAATATTATGTATTCCAGGGATAAAGCAAAGAGAATAACTGGAAATAGTTCTTTATTAGTCCTGAGAACAAAGCACTAAATGTATAAAGAAGAAGAAGTTAACAATTAAAATTTTTCCAATATAATAGAATTCAATGCAAATCTAAGATAAACTGTACTTAAAATAATACATAATATATAAAATTTAACAATTATTTTTTATTAGCCAATATAATCATGAAAGAGGTAAGATGACATGGGTTTTTTTTATGCCCAGCCCTATAATAGAAAGTAGCTTAGTGACATTAGGTGACAGTAAGTGTCAAAGTTCTTCATGATTAATGGGAACAAAAGATAAATCCATATAGTTTTAAAACTGTTGTAGAACCCAAAAGATAAATATTATAGCTACTTATCTAAGAAATGAAAATACGTAAGTTGTATATGATATACAAACATCATTTTAATAGTTATATAGATAGATATGGTTATGTTATAAAATACTTTCATAGTTCATAGGCTTTGAGCTATCAAAATTATGTTTTTCACAAAAAACAATAAATTTATTAACCAAATTTTATTAGCTGTTGTTGAAAGAGATTTTTGTTCATATAAAAGGAACATCATATTATGTTCCAACTATTTTATAATTTATTTGTAAATATAAACTTTGTGATGTTAAAATATACTCTATAGTTCATAATTAGAATACACTACATAGAATAGTATGGCCTAGAAAGTCTGGACTGTTGCAAGGTCATTGACTCTTCATGATATAGAAGCATAGTTATAGATGCTTTATTAATCCCTGATAGCCTGTCTTAGTAATGGCACATACAATTAGAAAAATTGTTAATAGTATAAGATATGCATGACACAAATCAAGAAATGATAAAACTGATATTAAGTTTAAAGTGTTACATAAATGTCATAGAATTAATTAAATAAAATTTATTTAATAAATAATAAATGTAATTGTTCATGAAGTATTGACATAAAGAAACATATGCCCCATCTATAAAATAAAAAGCCAGATTCTATGATTCATGAAAAACTTCTAGTTTTAATGTTCCATAAATATTATACTTTTGTGGGTTGTCATTATGAGGTAAGGTTGATCAATAATCTAGTTCTATACCAAGATCTGGTTGGTATAGATCTAGTTCTATACCAAGAACTAGATCCACCTTAAAAGCTTATGTGAAATAACTGAAAGAAAGAAAAAGCAAAAAGCAAAAACTGGATTTTCAGGATGTCAACAGCCTGGGTGTAGAATGCACTCAAAATGAGGCCAGAGGGATAATACAGTGGTTAAAGCACTTTCCTTGTATGAACCTAACCTAGTTTTGATCCCCAATACACCATATGGAATCTCAAGTTCTGAGCACTGCTGGGAGTGGCCCAAAATCCTCCACCCCGAATATGCAAAAAATGTCCTACACTACTTTAAATTAGCACTTAAAAAAAGCTTTGATATGCATTTTTGTTTGTTTTCATGAAACAGTGGAAGCGCTCCATTTGGGAACATTAATGGCTGCCCATGGTTACTTCTTTCCAATCTCAGATCACGTTCTGACACTCAAGGATGATGGCACCTTTTACCGGTTTCAAGTAAGTTCAATAAAAGACACTTTAATGGTAAAACAGAATTTTGTATTTTGTTTATTGTTTTTACAGAACTTTTGGAAATTTTAACTTATACTACTTTAGTATAGGCTTGTTAGAAAACAGTAAGTACTAAACCAAAAAATTTAAAAACAATAAACAGATAAAGAGTATCATTCCTAAAGATGATTTGCTAAAACAAAATTGTGTGATGATGAGTTAAATAAATCTGCCTAATGTCTTAATGGAAATGTTGAAGGCAGAAGAATAATTCATCTGTAAATTATATTTAATAGGAAGAACTTGTAAATAACAATTTAGTTTTGTGACCCCAAACTATCTTTCATATAAGCAAATTCTCATTAAAGCCAGATGGTAGATTAGCAAGCTATTCTAACTGTTAGGGCTCTGAGGTCTTCCTTTAAGTATGTGGATATGATTATTTTCATGTGTATACTCATCTGAAACAGAAAGGCAGCACAGAGAACTTACAAAGTGACAAGAATCATTTGTAGTCTTTTTAGATGACACAGTTGCTGTTATTATTTTAAGGAGCGATAGCACAGTGGGTAGGGCGTTCGCCTTACAAGCGGCCAACATGGCCGACCCGAGTTCGATTCCTCCGCCCCTCTCGGGGAGCCCGGCAAGCTACCGAGAGGATTCGATATGCCAGACACAGTAACAACAAAGTCTCCAATGGAGACGTTACTGGGCCCGCTCGAGCAAATCGACGATCAACGGGAGGGCCTTTACCTTTACCTTTACCTACAGTATGGTTCATTCATAACTGACAAGTTTGTTGTATCTGACTAGTAGAATTTACATGCTTTAAAAATGGAGGCTTTTAAAATGAAGACAGGTATTGCCAAAATTCAAACTCTAACTTAATTCATACATGTAATGCTTTTTGAGAAATCTCTCTATTCTTAACTTTCAAACATTGTAATATTCTTCTTACCAGGAGGTGTTCAAGGGCTATTCCTAGCTAGCTACATGCTCCTAGCTAGCTACATGCTTGAAGGTCATTCTTGGCGGAGCTCCAGGGACCATTCAATAGCAGAAATGGAACTTAGTTTTACCACATGCAAGGATGTGTTCAACCAATTTTGCCATCTCTAACCTAAATAATCTTTAGGCCTGATAAAATTTTCACAAACACTGAATACAATATAAGAATTTTTCCATCTTCATAATAAGAAAAATCTATAAAAGATTTATTTGTACCACATCAGATGTATATGAGAAACTTTGGATATAGTTTATTTATTTAGGGAAAATTCTCTAATTCAATGTTTTTCTTAAAACAATTTGTCCTACACATAGTCCAAATATAACCATGATGATTTAAATTAGCATTACTTGCAAGTTTTAATCCACTCTTATTGTTCTCACACTGAACAAGTGTACGATGCTTAAAGATCTTTCAAATGGGCAAGGGATAGGTATAGAATGAGCTGTTTCACTGCTAGATTGTCAAGTTCAATTTGCCTAGATTGAGAGGAAGAGAAACAAAGAAAAGAAACAAAGAAAGGAAGGAAGGATGGAAGGAAGGAAGGAAGGAAGGAAGGAAGGAAGGAAGGAAGGAAGGATGGAAGGAAGGAAAGAAGGAAGGAAGGAAGAAGGAAGGAAGGAAGGAAGGAAAGAAGGAAATAAGGAAGGAAGGTAGAAAAACAGAAAAAGAAGGAAAGAGAGTGAGAGAGAAAGAGAGATGGAGGGCTAGAGAAAAGGAAGGAATGAAGGAGGGAAGAAAGGAAGGAAGGAAGGAAGGAAGGAAGGAAGGAAGGAAGGAAGGAAGGAAGGAAGGAAGGAAGGGAGGGAGGGAGGGAGGGAGGGAGGAAGCAAGGGAAGAAAGAGAAAAAGAAAGAAGGAAAGAAAGAAATATAGGATAATAGATGGTCTTTTATATTATTTTGGGGAGTGATGACCTAAGAATTAACTGATTATTTGATTCTAGACCCTGAAATGTGGCATTGATCTGCCAAGCAGCATTGGGGGCTGCTGGAATTTCTTGCACCTGGAAATGCTATGGGGCCATAAGTTATAAGAACTGAGCTTTGGGCCCCATGTCTGCAACATTTTAAGCTAACCCTCTGCCCTGTTAATTTCTTTAATTACATAATTAACTTGAATCTTATTTTAATACCAATTTACATTTTGAATGAAGTCTAAATGAGTCATATTTATAAATATAGTAATTATAGATATTTAAAACCCAGGCCTAAAATGCAAAAAAAATACTTCCAGAAAAGTCAATCATAACTGATTTTCTGCTATGTCTACTAACACATTCATCAGTATATATTTGAAAAATCTAATAATAGAAAAAACATTCTTGTACAAAGTGTTTACTTCAATTTTGTGCTTTTATCAAACAGCAGAAAATTATTTGCTACATGTAAGATAAAATTGAAGTTAATGGAAGAATTTTTAATTATGAATTAAAATTAGAAAGTACATAAAATATGTTCATAATTTCTATGGTAACAATGATATTCCAATTGTTAGCAATCTATAAAGTTTCAGATCTGAGTTTCAGACAAAACTTGTAATTTAGACTTGTAATTTTATAGGTATGTCTCAGTTTTTAAATTTTTCTTAGTTTTTTAATATGTTTTCAATCATGTTTTTTTGTGTTTACTGTATGATAACAATTGTCTAATTGTGCTCTTGCTACTTGAATTGAGCTCTGACATCAATCTACAGGTCACTTTTCTACCTTTCTTCACATTAAGTATATGTGCCAAAGATCATGGAATAATGACTACAAAGTTTGGGATAAGATTTTTCATAGCTTTAAAAAAAGCCAACACTGAGCGTCCAGAGAAATGGTATGGCAGGTAGTTTACTTACCTTGCATGTGACTAATCCATGTTAAAGATCTGGGACCCTATATGGCCTATGGTCCTTCATCCTTCCAGGAGTGATCCTTGAGCAAAGAGCCAGGAGCCAGCCCTGAGCATCTCTTTGTATGATACCAAAATAAAGCAGAAAATTAAACTAACAAAATTCATAGATTAAAAATGTTTTAAAAATCTAATAAATAAAATAAAATAAAAGGTCCTCCCATTGATCATCGATTTGCTCGAGCAGGCCCAGTAACGTCTCCATTGGAGACTTTGTTGTTACTGTGTCTGGCATATCGAATACATCACGGGGATCTTGCCAGGCTCTGCCGTGTGGGCGAGATACTCTCGGTAGCTTGCCGGGCTCTCCGAGAGGGGCGGAGGAATCGAACTCGGGTCGGCCATGTTGGCTGTGTGCAAGGCAAACGCCCTACCCGCTGTGCTATCGCTCCGCAATAAAAATCTAATAGAACTCTAAAATAAAATTTCAAGTTCCAACTAACTATAGGAATTTAATTATTTTTCTATTTAAAGAATTGTGATTTACAACATTATTGCTGAGTATTAGTCATATAATATTCCAATACCAATCCCACCACCAGTGTCAACTTCCCTCCACTAGTGTTTCCATACTCCTTTCCAACTTTCCCAACCCCCCCACCTCACCACCTACCACCCTGACAGACACATTTCAAAGTTTGGTGATTGTAGTTTAGATTTCATATGTTTAGTGTTGTAGAGTCTGTGTTTTGAATATACAATTGTATCACTCTACCACATCATTGGTATACCCAAGGCTCTGACCCCTATTCCCTAATTACTTCCCCTTTCTCATATTTTTCTTTTCCTTCTGGATTTCTTTCCTTCTCTGTTCTCCCTATTCTCTAGGGTCAAAGCTGCAGCAAGAGAGAAGAAAACCCTCAAAAACAAGGACTTTTTAAATGTTTTATATTATCTTTTACAACAAACCAAAATATTTTTTCTAGAAAAAATACTTGCTATATTAGTTAAATAATCTAATGTCCACGTAATATCACAGGATAAAAATGTTCCTTTATTTTACAGTAAGAATGTTCTTACTAAATGACAAAATAATTATTTTAAATGTTAAAAATACAAATGAGAACATGATCTTTGAAGAAAAATTCTGACTAGAAAAACATATACATTCCTGAGAACACACAAGCAGACATCCATCAAAATAAAAAAGGTAATCCAAAGGGAATAATACAATAAATCTATAAAAAGTATCTCAAAAACTAGAATTCCACATGAAAGCAGTATTTTAATGTTTACTAGTTAATATTTTTCCCAACTGCTGCTCCCCTAAAATATGTAGCCATTTTTATTTCTAAGATATCTATCAAATCTCCATCTCCCCAGAGTCAAGTTGGAGTCAGGTAACGTAAAAAGGAGCCATAGTAAGACTTGATATCCCTTAGGTTAATAATTCATTTTAGTCCCTAAATTTCTGCCATCACTTTTTAAGTGCATACACTATCAATAATCTTGTTTTAATGTAGCAGTTCTCAAGAAAAGAATAGAGGGGAAGTTAACACCCCCTAGGAACTGAACAGTTTGGAAAATACTTATTTCAGAGTCAAATTGATTTTCCCTAATTTTCCATTTTCCTTCTTGAAATCACCTCCTCTGTGAGGTGACTGATCAGACAGGTAATTGGATTCAATCCCAAATATGTTTGTTTCACACCAATAATTAATATAATTGACTAATCAAAGACAATTAAGTATACAAGGATGATGTCTGCAATCCATTATTCTGCAAGGAAACGGTTGACAAAACAAACAGGTGATCATAACTTTATTCATGTTGCCGAGTGAAATCTGTTCAAGTGGAAGGGCTATATAAATCCTTTCAAAAACTATAAAATGTTCATTTTTTTAGTCAGTGTAATAGTCTTTCTTCAGTCTGTGCATTAAGAATTTTTGTTTAAATAATTCAATTAGATATTTTATCTTTATGATAATTGACAGAAAGTTGCAGTAGATGTACAAAATATTAGATATCTGCTAGTGCTGAACATAGTTTGAAGCTGAACAATTACTCAATAGAGTAAATGTAGAATAGAAAGTTTACATTCACTTTCTGAGTATATTTTTGTACTGCAAAACATATAGTACTACTATTTATAATATAAACTATCCTAGATAATATTAAAAGAATATACAATTCATAAACATGAAACTTTACTAAGTTTTTAATGTGACTAACCTAGGTACAACTTCTTTTCATTTCACAGACACCTTACTTTTGGCCATCAAATTGTTGGGAGCCAGAAAACACAGACTATGGTCAGTGCTATGTCTTTTAGCTTTATTAATTGAAGCCTACTGTCCGAATTAACACAAACTTGCATTTTATACCTTTGTCATTGAGAAAAGATAAGTAAAATGCTAAGAGTCATTATTTCTAACGTTACTTATGAATGATCTTTCTTGAAAAGTAACTAAACTTATTGGTAACGTTTTCCATGGTGACTATTAAATTTGAAAATGTTTTCTTCTAGTAGGTTAAAGAATTGTAAATAAGCTATTAAAATATTTATTATTTTCATGGAGTTTTGTCTGCTAGAAGAGACTAATTTTTTTCCACCAGCTATGTGCTTTGTTCTAAATACTTTGTCCTTCAAATGCTCTATCTTTTACACTTTTATATAAGATATGCTAATGTTCAACATGGCAAGGCCAAGTTCAAGCAAAAAAAAAGTGCAATATGAAATTTAATCATCATCAAATTTAGTGAATTTAACATGAAATCAGTTTAATAATTAGGATTTTTTTCTTTGTGGGTCACACCCGGCAATGCACAGGGGTTACTCCTGGCTTTTGCACTCAGGAATTACTCCTTGCAGTGCTCAGGGGACTGTGTGGGATGCTGGGAACCAAACCCGGGTCGGTTGCATGCAAGGCAAATGCCCTATCTCCTGTATTATCGCTCCTGCCCCTAATAATTAAAATTTTAGTTAACAATTCATGGATATAAACTGGTTCCACAAAAGTATTTATCTCGTGTCTCTCAGAAAGCTTTAATTTTCTCAGGAATGAATGCGTGGTTTATAAATTTCACTTCTACAAATATTTGTTAACAGTTATTCTAGTATTCCAACTATCACAGATATTGGGATGTCAAAGGTGACTGATTCCACTTACACACCTAGGTATAACAAAATAGATGGATGATTTTCAAAGGAGAATTATACAGAAGGTGTCATTGTGGAGAGCCAGTAAATAAAAAACGTTATGTGCAAATATTTTGTTCCTGCACATTCTATTAACAACCAATTTTATGGCTGAACTAACTCTGTTGATTGGAATTATGATAGCAAAATGCCCTTACAATAACTTTCAGGATATTAAAAAATAAAAACAAAAACAGAGTAACTACTAACAAGGCCTGACTACTACACACTTGGGGGTCACACAGAAGCCATAAGCTACACTGGAGTGATGATGCAGCAGGCAAGGTGCTTGCCTTGCCTGCACCCTGACCTGGCTTCTATCCCCATTATTGCATATGTAGTCCCCAAGCACAGTCAGTGTAAGCCCTGAGCATCACCAGAAGAGACCCAAAAACTTAAAATAAATAAAGTCAGGATTGGTCTCAGAATTTTGAGGGGTTTAAGGTGAAGGTGTAGGGATTCTCAGATTTATTCTTTATCAGTGAATATAAAGTATAAAAGTGGGAGTTTAAGGTGCAATAAGAAAGCAAACTAGATGGCCTAAAGGCAGTTATTCAAATTAACCAATATCTATAAAACTCAGGTGAGGAAGCTGGATAAAAGTGAGAATTGGGGGTGCACCAACTCTATCTAGCCATGAGGCTGGTCATATGGCAATTTCTAGAAAGCTATCCTTAAAAAAGTTTGAATTGGATGTCTATTCAAGCCATAGAAATTAAGGCAGACACTTGGATTAAAAAATAGGATTTTCTTAATTTTTATATTAAATAATGCATAAGTGTCTTTTATTACTTGAATGTGCTACAAGGTGCTATTTATGTGTGAACTAAAGGAGATTATATTTTATACTGTCTTTGAATGAATTTTTATATAAATGCCAATTTCAGTCTATAAATTGGGGTTCTGTTAAACTATGTATTTACTGATTTTTCTGATTACTGAATCTGTCAAAAACAGGTATGTGTATGTGTTGATGATTCTAAATGTAATCATTAATGTTCTATTTGTCTTTGGGCTATCAGTTTTTACTTCAAGTATTTTTATGTGCTCTTGTTAGAGCAAATATTAATACTTTTGTTTTCATGTAGTTTGTGCACTTACATAATGCGCTCTCTTATCTCTCTATCACTTATGTAATATTCTTATTTATTCCCAGTAATTCTTCTCAATAATTTTTCTGGTCTACTTTCTCTGAAACTAATTTAACTACTCCAATTTTTCTTTATCCATCTTAATATGACTCATCTTTCTTTTCCTCTTTATTTTTAATCTGTGTAATTATATTTAAAAGTGGGTTTCTTAAAGACAACATTTATTCAGTGCTGTTTTTATTGACTCTGACAAACTTACCCTTTTCAAACTGACCAAAAGAAATTAAGAGCTGAGCATGTGTGTGTGTGCTTGTGTGCATGTGCACGTGTATGTGTGTGTGTGTGTGTGTGTGTGTGTGTGGCTTCAGAAATCACACCCAGAGCCTCATACATAGAAGGAAATGGCTTTACCACTTAGCCATATATGAGACCCAAATTTTAATTTTAGAAACCAGAAAACCTGCCTGACTAGAGGTGGTTAACAATGTTCAGAATATCCTACTTACCTTGTTTTAAAGAATCAGAAGATGGAAACCTTGATCATAAATCTTTATTTGAAGTTACACTGGAATTTTGGCTCAGGAGATCAGCCCATGAGAGAATTTATTGATCACCCTGGTGCTCACTTATCTGCAAACTACCCTTCCTACAACCTAATTTTTTTTTCCTCTTTCTCTCTCAAGAACTTATTTCATACACTTGTCTCTGCTAGGATGTGTCTGAAAATGTAACCCTTATTTGTGGAGAATGTTTAGGGTGAGACTGTGGATGCTGACAGCTGAAATTCTAGCCAGGGCAGTGAAGGTTGGGTTGTAGCAGATACAGAGCTGAATGTGAACTGAACAAATTCCATCTGTGACCTATCATCAATGCAACTGGGTGCTTTATTTATTTATTTATTTATTTATTTATTTATTTATTTATTTATTGCTTTTTGGGTTACACCCAGCGATGCTCAGGGATTACTTCTGGCTCTGCACTCAGGAATTACTCCTGATGGTTCTCGGGGGACCATATGGGATTCTAGGAATCAAACCCAGGTCAGCCACGTGCAAGGCAAATGCCTTATCTGCTGTGCTATGGCTCCAGCCCTAGCAACTGGGTTTTTAAAAAAATTATTATTATGCAGAACATATTTTCTATCCATGTATTACACCACCTCTTGGGTATTGCTGAAATTATATTTACAAAAGCTGGTAATAAGGAAGCATCTTTTTTTTCCTGACAATATTTATAGACTTTTAGAATGTTGCTGATTGTATTTGTTTGTGACTATCATTGAGATTGGGGCTTAATAGAAGTACTGTAAGTGATCAAGCATCAGAGAATCTCTTTTGTGGGTGAGCAAGCATTAGACACTCCATTATGTTTCCTCTGTATATTCCTATAACCTCTCTCTTCATTTGGCTTTTGCCTCATGTTTCTTTATATTCAATGTTATGTCAGGAATCAGTCAATATTAGTATGGGAGAACCACTGGAGAAATATTTCTAAAGACTATCATATAGGTTCTTAGAGGCAGAAATTATTCTTTTACCAGAAACAAACTATCATCAGCAAACTACTGATACCAGCCAGATAGCTGCATGATTGAACTTAAAAGTTCAGCTTTTATCATTTATATAATCATATTGTAGCTTCCAAGACAAAAATAATCTCAAAATACAAGGCTAGAAAATTTTCCTATAAACAAATGGTAACTCTAAAAAAGCAGGTACACATAGATATCCAGCAAATTAAGGTAATATAATATATCAATAGATCACTGTATTACTGTCATCCAATTGTTCGTCAATTTACTCAAGCAGGCTCCAGTAACATCTCTATTCATCCCAGTCCTGAGGTTTTAGCAACTTCTCCTTACTCATTCTTTCCAATGCTGCCATCTTGGAGGCTCTTTCAAGGTCAGGGGAATGAGACCTGTTATAGTTACTGGTTTTGGCATATCAAATATGCCATAAGGAGCTTGCCAGACTCTGTCCGTGCAGGTGGGATACTCTTGGTAGCTTGCCAGGCTCTCTGAGAAATATATATATTTATTATATATATTTATATTATATATTAAATATATATTTATATTATATATATATATATAATTTGTTGCCCACTGTCTGAACTCCATCAAACATGGTTTGGTAATTATGGAAAATGGGTAGGAAGTGTCTTATGATGTGTCCAGGAATATGTTCACTCATGTGTGAGGCTTGGCCCAAGCATGGGGAAAGCATCCTGGAGCATGATGTGGTTGGGTAGTGGAGGTCAGCTGCCAGGGCTGGGTCCCATGGGGTGGGGAAGGCTCTCTCCTATTTCCCTCTGGGGAACCCCAAGTGAAAACAGCCTGGTGTAGAGTCCAGTAGCATGGTTCTGGGGGCCTCATTTTATACTCCTGTCTGGGAGGAGCAGCTGTGAGTTCTGGAGAGTGGTTGATGAAGAGATTATCTGGTACCAGCAGGGTGTGTCTTATGGGTGTGACCTCTTGGTCACCGGAGACTGGGTGATATAAAACAATTAAATATAGATATAAATCAATTAAAACAATAAAGAATTTTACAGTTATTATTTGCACCAAATGAAAAGACATCAAAATTTATCAACAAATTATCAATAGAAATCAACTACAAAAACAAAATAAAAAATTCCTCAACCATGTTGAAACTGGACAATAAGCTGCTCCTCAACCACCAAGTCAATGAGTAACATAACGCTAAAACTTAAAATAGCTAAAGACAAATGAAAATAAAATCAGGAGTTACCTATATGATACAGTGTAAATGGTACCGAGAGATGAGTGAATAACAGTACTGGTCTTCAAAAAGAAACACAAAAATAAAAATAGTTCAACTTTATTGTGAAGTAACTGGGAAAAGAGTAACAAAACCAAATGTTAGCAAAAGGAAGGAAATGATTAAAAATCAAAGCAGCAATAAAAGAAATAAGAATGAAAGAAAAAAGTAGCAATGAAACTTGGAGCTGCGTATATCTGGTTTGACCTGAGAAGCTGAGAACCCCCTTACCCCTGCTC